GAGAGGAAATGTTTTGAGAATGATGAGGGCTTTACACAATTGATGTATGTATGGATTGTGATAAGATTTGTATGAGCCCCTAATAAAATGATTAAAAAACAACCCGCAAAACCAGCATACATGATAGTAAAGGTGACCCTTTTATAAGTATTTGGTCCCACAAAGAATCTAAGCCCATAATTTACACCTGATACTTTATCACTCCTCCTTGGCAGAAACTGTGGAAAACGTACATTGCTTGCCACTTTAGGATTTTTTACTGTGTAACAGACACTTGAAGCCTGTATTGGTAAAAATCGCTTTATTGATCAAACTTCCAGATCTTCGCTCCCTACCCGGATTCAGTGATGGCTATGCACGGGCCTCTCCAGCAGCACTTTAGATGGACGACTTTCACCGAGCATTTTTTCCGGCTTGGCTCTCCAATAAATACCAAGTTCTGACTTCTAACTGGAGCCCTGAGCTTACAGCTCCTGAGAGGGCTTCTCACTTAAAATGCACTCTCTGGTGAAATCGCAGACTTGACTTTTGACTGTAGCTCTTGCCACACTCCTCACACGTATAGGGCCTCTCTCGGGTGTGGACTCTCTGATGGAGCTGGAGGGAGGAGCTCTGACTGAAGCACTTCCCACACGCTTCACACCTGTAGGGTTTCTCCCCCGTGTGCACCCTCAGGTGGCCTTGAAGATGTGAGCTCTGGCTGTAGCTATTCCCACAGATGTCACATCGATATGGTTTCTCTCCGGTGTGTACTCTCTTATGGCTCAGGAGACTCGAGCCGAACCGGAAGCCCTTTCCACACTCAAAACACGTGTAGGGTTTCTCTCCAGTGTGCAGTCGCTGGTGGGTGCGCAGATTTGAGCTATGACTGAAACCCTTGCCGCACTCATCGCATGTGTAGGGTTTCTTTCCCGTGTGGACTCGCTGATGGATGTAGAGATTCGAGGTGCACCTGAAGCCCTTCCCACACTCTTCACATTTATAAGGTTTCTCCCCCGTGTGGACTCTCTGGTGACTGAGAAGTACTGAACTGTAGCTGAAGCCTTTACCGCACTCGGCACATTTATATGGTTTCTCTCCGGTGTGGACTCTCTGGTGAATGAGGAGGTCGGAGCTGAAGATGAAACCTTTACCACACACATCACATATGTAAGGTCTTTCTCTGTTGTGGATTCTCTTATGATTATGAAGGTCTGAAATCCGCCAAAAGCACTTCCCACACTCGAAGCATGTATAGGATTTCTCTTCTGTTTGGACCTTGAAAGGGTCAACGCTTTGCCTGGAGCTCTGACCACCCTCCACATTTATAGACGAGGCCCCTCCTATGGGGATGCTTTGATGTCTGCCCTGATAGACACTCTGTGGTAGCGTGTCCTGCTGATATTCCAAGTGCATTCGTGGGTGAGTGGGTAGGTTTGAGTCATCCATGAAGCCACTTCGACCTTCCTGACGTTTACAGCCATTGGTGCTAGAGTTGGGGTGATAAAGGATTGCCTCGTCAGTGCAGTGATTTCTATCCTCATCACAGTCAGTAGGTTTCTCTCCTTCAAGTGGTCTGTGATCATGGTGATGTGATGCTATCCAGCTGAAACTATAATCACCCCCATCACATTTATATAGTGTATCTTGCATGTAGATTTTTTTATAGCTTCCCTGAATATTCCAAGGCTCACTCACAAAGTTCCAAGAGCCCTGAATGGGGGCTAGGCTCACACCTTTCCAGGATGGATACACTTGATGGTCTGCACTGATAGTACCACGTCCTTGAAAACCACCCACCAAATTCTCCATTCCAAAGCCCGGAACAGATTGGTCTCCCCAACCTTGACAGTGAGAAGTGTCTTTCGAAGACTGGCAATCTTTCCCTTGAAGATTTCTTCCACCATCTTGACTGCCAGTTAATTCTCCAGTGACTTGTTTCCAGATTTTCCAGTAGTTAAGCTCTTTCTGTAAAAGGACTTTCAATTTTTTCTCTTGAATACACTCCATATCCACTTCATTTTTGTCTCCTAGGGGATTAAAGATGATACAGAGAAGAGAATAAGGTTCATATTGTCCAGGGAATTTTAGCCTTTCAGACTTGTACCAAACATGGTTTAAGAGCATAATGACCCTAGAGAAAAATTCTGATTTAGGTATTTAAGTATCAGAGCATATATTTTCTTATGTCTGAATAAGAAAGATGAACAAATTATCTTTCGTCAGAGGGTTGAACTGCAAGAGGAATTCTGCATGGATACTCAGGGAAACTCACTTCTTTAATTATGCTGCTGTCGTTCATCTATCCATCCGTGTATGTATATATGTATTATGTACACATGTATGTATGTATCTATATCACTGCAGTGCAGTGAATTATTTAACATGGCTCTTCTAGCCACAGTCTTTGTTACTCCCACTAATGCACTTTGATTTTTCTGATGAGTCTGAGTAAGATTCAGCTGTGAGTGATTGCTAATTGTGATGGCCATCCTGCTGGGTATAAAACAGAGACTCTCCCTGCCAGCAAGGCAGAAGAACGAGGAATGGAGCATGTCCTTTGGACCCCAAGATCTGTGCACATTGAGCCCACTTGATCTAAGAGGCAGTATGGACACCAGCGGAGCAGCAACAGGAGAACAAAGAAACAGAGCATGAGACAAAGCAGTGGACTTCCCAGGCCAACAAGCAAGTAAAGCGGAGTGCTTTGGGGCAAGAGACTGGCTTGTGGAGTGGGGTGCCCTCATGCTCTCTGGGTGTGTCTTTCTCTGAAAAGCATGAAGAAACGATGAGGACACAGTGACCAGGAGGCAGAATCAAGCAGAACAGCCACCGACGGTGGCCGCAACAGTGTCCATGGGCAAGATCAAGGGTGGGCACAGAGGCATTGCAGTGGCCTGCTCCCTGACCCCCAGTCCATGCAGGCTCTGCTCTCCGTGCTTCTCACCTGGATCTGGAGCTGGTGGAATTTCTTTCTCCACCACCCAGGTTTCTTCATCTTGTTCCAAATGGGATACCTGGTCAGACTGGAGAGGCTGTTGCCCTGAAAATGCAAGAAGATGCAAGGTGGAGGCTCATTTTCTAGATACTACATAGAATAATAAGAAAATACAGTCCCGATCTCAAGACCTTCAGGCCTTTGAAGGCCAGATCAGGGTCAGGAGGCCAGATCAAACTCAGGGCCAGATAAGGGTCAGGGCTAGATAGACAAGGCAACTTTCAAAGGGCCCTACAAATAAAGGCTTTCACCTGGGTACAAGGTCACAAGATTTTTTGTGGGGTACAAGAACATCCCAGTAGGCTGATGCACAGAGGTTGTCCTCACCCACGGAGACCAGGTTCGTGAAGTTCTCCAGCATCACGTCTCTGTACAGCTGCCTCTGGGCGGAGTTTAACAGTTCTAGCTCGTCCTCGGAGAAGACCACAGCCACGTCGTCGAAGGTCAGCGCCTCCTACAAGGGGAGGCACCATCCACACAAACAATCAGGTCAGTCTGGCGTCCTGACAAGAAGCAGACCAGGCAGCAGGAAGGTCCCCGGTAAGGTCTGGTGCCGATCGTTTTGCAGGAAGCAAGGAGCTTTCTTTGCTCAGGGAGTCCTCCAGAGAGGGGCCCTGGAGCTGAAATGGTGGAGCCGTGGTGTCCGCACACGTTACAATGTGACCCTAACCTTTCCTCTACAAGGACTATCACAGTGTATCGTGTCAGCCTTGCCCACGCGTACGCATCCTCCACACGAGTGCTATTGCCGCCTTCTGCCAGGATGAGAGTTCTTCGCCAGTCAGGCCCTCCCTCACCTCATCACCAGCACTTGCACACACCCTGCTCTTGGCTGCCACCCAGCAACCAATTCCAACTCATGGAGACCCCACACAGGTCACAGTAGAACGGGGCTCCACAGGGTTGCCGATGGCCGATTTTATGGGTGCACATGGTCCTGTTTTCCAAGGCACCTCTAGGGGACTTGAATTTTGATCAGCACCCAGTCGTGTGAACCATGTGCACTACCCAGTCCCACTTTTCTATGAGGCTTCCATGTTACCACTTGGCTGAAAGCACACTAATGTGTGTTGGTGTCACCAGCTTCCCAGTCAGGAAAGATGCTGGGCTCAAACCATGGCGTTCCTAACCAAGCTGTGTCCTCCTCTGTTATGAAACAGAACACACCTTTTTTTGTTTGTTTGTTTTAAGAGAATCGTTCCAGTCTTGTGTGCTTTGAAAGAAAGCTATCGATGATAGCATCTCACTATGGATTTCGGGCCTAACTCCCTAGATGAAATTAGTATTGGCAGGTGGTGCATAGAGGAGACAGGCAATGATGGAAGCTGTGGGAACAAAGGGTTTGCCCAGTAGACCTGGGTTGTCCAAACCCTACGCATTCCCAAGAAAGGTTAGGCCCTTGACCAAAGCATGTCATCCATGGAACTGCCTGATCAGAATGTCTTTGTTTGCCTGGGGTCTTGGGAAACACCAGATAGTCTATGCTTTCAATAAAATTGATATTAGGAGTTAATAAAGAAGGTAAGCAGAGGTTGACTTGTGCTTACATGTGCATTTTCATGATGGTGCTGGAGAAGAATACTGAAATACCATGGGCTGCCAAAAGAACAAACAAATCTGTCTTGGAAAAAGTACAGCCAGAATGCTCCTGAGAGGAATGGACCGCAAGACTTCACCTCCCGTCATTTGGACGTGTTTGTCAGGAGCGGCCAGTCCTTAAAAAAGGACATCGCGCTTGGTGAAGGAGAGAGGCCATGGAAAAGAGGACAGCTCTGACCCCGATGGCCTGACACAATGCCTGCAACTCTGGGCATCGACATAAGAAAACGGGTGAGGGTGGTGCAGAACCGGGCAGTGTTTCCTTCTGTTGTGCATAAGGTTTCGGAGTTGGAAACCAACTGGATGGCACCTAACAACAAGGACGCAGCAATGATTCTGCCTCGTGGCATCTCTGGCCTCTCTCTCAACCCCAACCTACAGCACCATCCTACAGAATAAATTCTGCTTTCCGAATTTACAATCCCTGACAAGACCAGAGGATCCAGTAAGCAAGAAAAGTAGAGGGTTACTTGTGCTGACTTACTACTCTGTAGTGAAATTTTTACCATATCAGTATGGTTTGTGGTGGGGCTCGGGGCCACACCAGATAGCCTAGTGAACAATGTCATTTATGATGGGTCTTTGGGCCCCACAGTATCAGTTCAGCCTGTAGAAGGGACAAAGACACTTTAGTGAGGTCAATTAAGTTGGTTACATCATTGGACTCCCCACCACCAAAACAAAAAACAAAAAAAGAACCCCAGAGCCCTAGGCTCTAGTGAGCTTCCCTGGTTGGCAATATGTCATGCAGGTTGTCACAAATGATTGCTGGGAGATTTAATTCAGCACTCCTTAGTGATGGGAGAACTAGAAGCTTATGCACAATTCCTCCTGGCTTCTTCCCTATGTGCCTCTAATGTTGCTAATTGTGACCTGAATCTTTTCACTGTCATAAACCACACGCTCGTGACCTTGAGGACAACAGCTCGGCTGAGTGCTGTGAGTCTGTATCACGCATCACTGGAACGGAGGGTGGCCTGGGGAGCCTCTGACAACAGCCACACTGACCTGGGCTCAAATCCAGGATTCCTCACTTCCCAAAGAGGATGGTACCCCCACCTCACACTGCTATTGCGTGATGAGTGGACTGGGTGATGTAACGCACTCAGCCTCTTCTTTTTAGGAAGCGAAGAAGTTACGTTCACTCTGGTATTCCCAGAGGGAAGAAGAAACCTCCACCCACCTGACAGCTGGTCGGCTCCGCTGCTTCCGGGGAAGGGGCTGAGGCTGGAGAATGAGTGGCTGCAGGAGAGAAAGAGGCCGTGAGGTAGAAAGAGAGCCTTCTCCTAGTTTAGGTCATCTACCCGAACTGAGGCAACGTGTACTTGTTGGTTTTGCCAAACCTCAAGTCCTTCCTTCTTCACCCAGTGGCTCCCTCTGCACACCCCGCTGGGATCCTCTGACCCCACAACCCTCAGCAACTCACCTCTGCCCTCATGTCTGGAAGTCAACCTCTCCATGACTCCCTCTCCTGGAATTTCTGAGAAGAGCAGTGCTTCTTTCAATACTCTGATCTTCCTAAAGTGAAGATGTCAAAAGATAAAAAGGGCTCCTTTATTCTTGAGGGTCTCCAAGATAGGGCCACGAGTGTTGTTGGCTGGGCACCTGGGGTCTGAAATACCCGTCCCCTCCCCCTCCCTTCCCTCCCTACAGCCTGATGGGTTCCCATGTGCTGAAAGCTGTGGACTCAGGGAACGTCATGTTAACGGAGTCCCACCTTCAGGTCCCAGAGCTGTAAGTCTCCAGGAGGAATCACAGCCTCTGGATTCCGCCATTTAGGAAGGTGGAGGGGGCTTCAAAGTCATTATGGAAAAATGGATTTCAAAGATAATAGGATATTCCCACACATTTTTCAAGTTCTTCTTCCACCCCACCCACACTAGGGGGCCATGGATAAACAGTGTCCCTGCCTAAACCAAGGACCCAAGGTAGAGCCCTTGGACTGGTGGCTTCTGCTTCTCTGTCTAGTTGTTAGTACCAAGGGTCCAATGTGCCCTCTATTCCATCCAGCCACCTGCACAGGGATTTTAGAATTGGCAGCTGCACCAGGACCCACGTGTTGGTGGTTCCTGCTGCTCCACCCAGTCACAGGCAGTGGGAGTTTATGAATGGGAGCTGGTTGCTTCTCCATCCAATCATCTGGGCTGGGAGTCCACAGAGTGGCACCCTCTGCTCCCTCCAACCTACCTGTTTTGAATACATGGTCTAGCAGCACATCCTTCCCTACCCTGTACTCTAGTGGAAAGGGACACACCTTTGGCCCAGGCACCCCACCCTCTGCCCACCCCCCAACCCCTGCCCTGCAAGTGGCAGTGTGGCTGAATAAGTGAGAACATGTCCGGCACCCCTGACAAGGTGACTGGTCAGACTCTCGAATCACCTCACCAGTAACACCAGTGCATTCTCAGTCACTCCACACACAAACAAAGACCCACACTCACACAAGCACGCACGCAGCTGCTGCCCCACCCACCTGGTCAGATAATGAGAAGTCGTGATCAGAGCAGCACACACGTCTGTTTCCTCAGAGAGACTACAACAAGGGAGCATGATGCCCAAACAGACCTACCGTGTATTTCAAAAATGTATGTCTTGAGGCAACAGACACTATGATAGCACACAGACGCAGGACAAGATGTTTCCAGAAAATGACCAAAATAAAGTACCAGAAAAGCTTCCAGAGAAAAACATGGTACTGGAGTGTCCAAATACGGAATTCCATAGACTGGAAGGTAGGGCTTTCCAAGAGGTTCAGGAAAAGATCACAGGCCACACCAATAGAGCCAAGGAAAACAGAAAAGAGGCAAGAACACATACAAAGCAAAAATGGCAAAACATACAAAAACAGCAACTAGAAACCCAAAAGACTGACAGTGTAACGTCAGGAATAGACGACTCAAGGAGGCAATCAATGGAAGACGGGATTGGTGAAACGATGACACGTCCCTCGACAATCTGAGTAGAAATCAACACTTCCCTGAAGTCATGAGGCCATGAAGATACCCACCCAAGAAGCTCCACAAGCGCCACCCCAGGCAGAACCCAAAAGAGAAGTCCCCGTGACGCATCATAATCACACTCGAGACTATCAAAGGCAAGATAAATAAGTAAATAAATAAATTGTGAGAGCGGCTCAGGAAAAATAAAAATTCGCCTACAAAGAGGTACCAATACGATTAAACTAAGATTACACAGCAGGAACCCCGCAGGCCAGAAAGCAATGTGATGACACACACAAACCCTTAAAAGAAAAAGAAAAGCGAAAGAATCGTATACCCAGCAACACCGTCTCTCAAATATGACAGCCTAATTAGGACATTCCCAGATGAACTGAAATGATGTTAGATCCGATCATGGGAGAATCTTGGCCTCCCCAGGTTGACAGAAAACCTAACCATCACAGGTGCTCTGAAAGAAAGACCTGGTGATTTGTTTCTGAAAGGTCAAAGTCACGATAACTCTTTGTAGCACAGTTCAACTCTGAGACATACGGGGACACCATGAGTCAGCATCTATTCAACATTAACTGTAAGTATTACGTGCAGTTAGTGTGCTGGGGAGACTGGTATATACATAATACAACTGTGCCCCCAATAAAACACCAGACCTTTTGTGGTGGAGTTAATTCTGACTCGCTGTGATGCCTTCTATTATAAGTAACATTCCTCCATAGGGTTTTCATGGGTGTAATCTTAATGAAAGGAGTCCTGGTGCTGCAGTAGTTAAGTGTTCAACTGGCAATCATTCAGTCGTTGGTCCAAACCCACCAGCTAGCAATTCCATGGGAGGAGGATGTGGCAGCCTCTGCTTCCACAAAGATTACAGCTTTGAAAACAGTACAGGGCATTTTTACTGTCTTAAAGGGCCAGTATGAGTAGAAATCAACTAGCTGACAAAAAGTTTTGCCTTTTTCTTTTTTTAGAGGTAGAGAGGGATTAGTCTTAATGGAAGCAGATCACCAGGTCTTTCTCCCACCATACTTCTGAGGGATGACCAACTTGGCTAGAGGTTGAACGCAAATACCTGGGGCATAAAAATCTAAGCAGAACACTCTAAGAACGAGAATCCCAAATTGTCACAGTGGATGGACCGTAAGTGTGGATTAACTTGGACAGGAAACGCATCCCCCTGTTCAGGTGTACTTTTAAGAGGAGAGCCTCTTGTACAACCTGCCCCAGAATGTGCACTGTCCATACATGACTAAATGAGACTTTTCTTAACAGCATGAGAAGTGTTGCGTGTGCTGATATCCCCTGAGATAGCTTATTGTGCCAGCCTGGCCGATAAACACAAATGGGACGCCAGGCCTGTGGACTGTGTCACTATAAGTTGAGGTCCCTTTAAGACATCTCTGGAGCTGGGGACTGGCAGTTGGTGACCTGCCTTGTGATTGGCTGCTGTGCTGACATAGCCTAGCTCTCTCTATAAATAGAGGAAGATCTGGCAGCAGAGTAGACTTGAAGGACTGCCAGTCTCTCACAACTCTCTCTCTCACGGGAGTGAGTTGCACTGAGCCATTTGTAGTGCTTTATAATTTAACTGTTCATTTCTTGTATTATATATTTATCTGTATATGATTTAACAGTTCATTTCTTGTTATATATCTAATTATCTTTATAAATAAACATATTAAATTATCAGCAATTTGGTTTTATCTCTCTAGAGAACCCTGTCTAACACACCCCCTGACCAAATGTCTTCGGCTGGGTTCTCCAGAGAAGCAAAACCAGCAAAGCTTATACATGGACACATACGGAGAAGTTTATCTCAAGGAAATGGCTCACAGTTACAGAAGCTGGCAAGTCCCATGCCCACTGGTCATACATCAGGCTGGAGACGTCTGACACATGTAGCTGTAGGCACTGATGAACCCAAGCCCTGCAGTTCAGATGGCAGGCTTCTGGATGCAAAATCCAAGGTTGTCAGGTAAGAAAGCAGGCTGCTGATGACTCCCAAGACCATCAAGCAACATGGCAGGCTGTAGGCTCAAGTCCAAAGAACTAGAGGTCTTTAATGATGAGCTAAATGCAGTTGTCATCTAACTGCTGGGTTAAGGTGTCTGCATTAAGACTGGATTAATGAAATCTGGACTCTATTAAATAATGAAGAAATTACTTGCATTAGGGCATTCACCTACAATGTCAGGGACAACGTGGCTTGGGGTATGTTGTTCTCAACACCACCTAGGGGAAAGAGAAAAAAAAGCAATGTTCTCCAGCATCCCCAATCTTAGCTCTTTTAAACACTGCCAATGTCATACACAGAAAACTTTCTGAAATATACCAGTGCCTTCCATCAAGCAATATGAATCCTAATTCCTGAAATGTTACCTATGGCATGACCAGTACTACTGAAAGGGGATTTAATTCTATGATCAATTCCTTGGGACACCTATAACATGAACTAGATACTATCACATCATTGTCCTTCAAATCCACAGAGACCTGGACATCTGATGGTAGAAAATAGGGGTATGCAGTTTATACCAGGAGAAAAATGTTTGTTTTTTTATTTTATTACAATGCTGTTGTAGCTGCATAATGTATGTCAACTTGAAGATATATAAAAGGATAGTGGTGGTATCTAAGTTGTCAATTGGGTCTCAGCCTGATGATGTTTTCTTTTCTTTTTTAAAAACTCATTTTAAATCAAGCGGCCATCTAGCTCAGAAGCAACAAAGCCCACATGGAGGAAGCACACCAGCCTATGCAACCACGAGGAGTCAAAGGGATCAGGTGTAAGGCATCATCAGAACAAAAAATCTTACCATAGTGAATGATGGGGGGAGTGC